TATGTCTCCTTATCGTCATCGCCGAACTAAACACTTTGAAGTGAGGATAGGTCCACAACACGTAATGAGGCAAGGTCAAGCTGTGGGCAAAATGTTCTCTATGAATCATTAAATTCCAAAATTGCTGATATTTTTAAGCATACTCTCAATTAACGTAAAATAAAGTCGTCGATTCTAATGGCAAAAATCAGCTATCCTTCCCCACCTCGCCCTAAACGATCATGGGCGACTTGGTCCTCGGTCAAGAGGGACTGATGGCATCGTAACATGATCCCACCCAACATATGCACTAGGCCAGCCAATTCAAATCCAACGGAGAAGCTAAATGGCATATTCATGCAAAAAGAAGTCATGAAATGCCATAGCATGTCTGCTATTCTCGACTTAACATATTCCATCGAAAGAGTCTGGTTCAATGTTCGCACACATAAAAGACTCACCGATAGTAGTGATAACTGTCGTCGCAAAGTAGAAGGATCCAGCGAACTTCCATTGGGTGCCAGCTTTGTGCGGTTTCAGCTGAATGCTCAGCTGAGTAATCCGCTCGTAATCCTCTCTGGTGATGTTGTATTTGGAGCGCAGATCCTTCTCCTCAGCCTCCAACCGTTTGGACTCCTCCACTTCATTCGTCGACTCCAGGGCGTCGAACACGGCAGCTCCAACAAGCAGGTAGGTGAATGTGACCACAATCAAAGACAGAGTTCGCACATTCTGTCGCTTCATTGTCCCTATCCACTTTTATCTGATCCCACACACAAACACATTAGCACAGACACACAAAAATGCAGGGGCCTCACACTTTCACACCTTTTGCACACGCGGGCAGGTAGCCATCAAACATCCGGCACAAACACACACCGTGGACACATCGAATAAACACATAAACCTCCTTTCTTCGACTGTGCTGGAAAGGGCCACCGATAGATGGATTCACAAAGCGCTTTCAAAACTTCATGTTGGCGGCCTAGCAACGTGGGTAACTATGGAGAAAGTAATCCTCAGAATGATGCGAAGCCGCTCCAGCTCGTTGAATGTGCAGGGCCATCGCTGAGGTTTCAGCAGACGCTGAAGAAGCCCAGTTCAAACAGCTTGTGGTCTAAATTTAACCGGTACCGGACAAGCCAGTCGGCGTTATCGATTAGCCGGTGACAAGCAATGTCTATCTGATCATGTGATTGGTTAGTGAAACAGCCCGCTTCCTATTGGCTCAAACAAACTGCCCATTTTACCTGCCCGCTGTTTCTATCTCTCCCTATGCAAACTTGGCTCACTCGCCTTAACCGCCTTTTCATCGTCCAACCTTAACGGCCGTCTTCATGCCTCATTACTCCGCCAGCTCCAATCTTCGTTTCCTAGACTTCACTGGTCCTGCCAAAATACCTTTTCTATTTCGTTATTCTTCTCACCAAACGGCAGTCATTACTCTACTTTTGCCCCCCACCCATTTTCAACGAGCACTCAATAGTTTATTGGTTGCTTGGCAAATCTCAGCTCGGATCCAACACAGCCGCTGAAAAAAAGTGAACATTCGAGATTTTTTCTTTGAAGTCATGTAGAGGACCTAAACAATTGTAATAATGCATTTATTTTGGTGTAACTAATCGAGCTTCCATAAATGACAACGTTTCATGAATTCGCATGAGGGCTAAAGATGATCCGACTAGCAAGGCATATTCATTTTATACCAAATTATTGAAGTGGTGGAAGATGCAATCTGACATATCTGCCTCTTATGACATGCTGTAATAAACAGCAACCAATTGAAAATGAATATTGGCCGTTTTGAGATTAACCTAAAAATCCTGTCAGAATGATACAAATTAGCGTAACTTTTCCATTTTGATAATCACCCACTTCCTGATAAGGTTTCGATATGAAAGGTACCAAAGATTATTTGTAACATAAAATCCCATAAGCTGCCCTGCTAAGTCTGACATGTGCGCCAATCCCCTCAAATCTGTATCTGATATGGTGTCATCAAATTTTCCGGCCTCCTTCAGTGCGTGTTGTCAGTCGATTTATGCCCATGAAACCAACTTTTTAGCCTTAATTTTATCATTAGTCTTAAGCAGTTTTGAAAAATGTAGCTGATAGAATATTTCATTCCTTATAATACGCTACCTAAGTTGACGTAAAATTGATTCAATTTGGACTTAGTGACGAAGCCATCGGATGCCCTAAACTAGAAATAGTTCCTCGCCCTAAGATCCCTATGGCATATGAACATGTGTGAGTTATCAACTTTTATTTTTACAAGACCACCTGCCTAACTGAAATGAGTTTAGCACGTGAAACTGGGCAAGAAAGAGCCTCTAAACTTCAAGTGTCTCTAAAGCTGTACAAAATTGCGAAGAACCCTTTGAAATATATCGGTTTGAAAGAACAAACATGGCTTCTGTTGTAAATTCGAAAAGTTAAGTTAACATATTGTCTTAAAATACAACAGTTTTGAGCACATGAAGTTAAAAGATGAGAAAAATATAATTAAATATACAAATGGAAAAATTTGAAGGAACGAAGAAATAAAAATGGAAATATAATTATATGAATTTACATTTTTTTCCATTTAGTTTAAGAAAACCTTAACGTTTGAATTGTTACTTTCGATACGACCATTTTCTTTCTAAAGCAACAGTAGTAATCTCTGCCAGGTATTCCGGATGGCACAGTAGTTTGCTTATTTTAAAAATGGGATCGCTTAAACCAATGATTGCATTTTATGTTAAAGAAGGATAACTTAATGCTCTAATGCTTTAAGAATCTCCGTAAGCACCGTAATAATCTCTCATCTTAACTTTCGATGAGATAATTGCTATGTTAGCTAAAACGGATGAAAGTTTAAAGTGGTAGTTACCTTTGAAGATGCTGAGATTATTTATTTCATCGAACTCTGTCTTAAAAGAATTAATTTATCAAATATCCGATTGAACCCGAAGTGAGGTTGCATGGGTACGGTATGCCTCGGCAAATTATGAGTAACTAAGTTTTTTGAAGCTGTTTAGGACTTTATTTATTTAGTCTATATAATCCTGTTATGAATTTAAGAGGTTTCATGCATTTAAACAGTAAAATTATTTTTCGCCCATCAGAATTTCAATTTGGCTTAGGCAGAAATTGAATACGTATAGAAATCTGATATTGTGTATAAATAAATACCGATTAGTTTGAGAAATCTTCAAATTGCTGCGAATATTTCGCATGGTATCCAGCCTTATTTTGTCATGAATTCTACCAATATGCAATTAAAAACATCATATCGGGTGTTATTTGCACTTTCCTGGATCCTAGCACCTAATTTGTCTATGGCACCCAAAGGTGCCGTATTGACTTTACCATACAAAATCCTAATGAGATTTCTTGGATGTCTATATTGAAGCCATGTCCAGAAGACGATACTTTTAAGGGACGCTGCCTATGGACGAGCCTTTTTGAATGCTCCACTAAAATATGTTCTATTAAATTTATTTAGAAGATTGAGAATAAATGAGGCCGCTTCACGAGGCTTCATTGTTTGTCTTCTGTCTGCCACTGGTTAGGATTTTATTCGTCAAGGCCCTCTAGGCGAGAACTATTGAGGTGGAAAGGCAAACGTTATTTTCCAGTCAAAAAAAGATACTTCTGGTCGGCAAACTTAAGCTAAGATTGGCCTTATTACTTTCGATTGTGGCTGTGGAGCGTACTGCTTGGACGATGAGGAAATACACTGAATGTATTTGTCTGAAAATAACGTTCAAAATGCTTGTGGTACAGTACAAGCATAGATCGAGAAATCCAAACCACCAGATTCTGACAGGCATAGACATAATATTTGAGAGGATGCTGAGGAAATTAGAGTTGCACTCTCTTTCTTCTTAACAAGAGAGCGGGAGCAATGAAGCTTATTAAATTGTTATTCGTTTATAAGCAGAGTTTCGAGACTACCAGTAAAGCAGTCATTTGAGATGTATTTACCCTATTCAGTTAAAATTGTCGAAGGACTGCTAGCTGAATTTCCCAAAATCATATGAGTAGAGCTGACGTTTCCACTCAATTTCACATAGCCTTGTTTTCCCATAGGGTGTTCTTATTCAGAGTGGACTGCAGTTTCGACCTCGCATCAGTCTTATCAACAACCTCAGCGGGAGTCGAACCGTGACATGACAGAATGTGAGTTTCACACGTTAGTCACTCGGCCACATTGCCACGTGTGCCCTTGAGTCACAGAGCAGATGTGAATTTCAAGGTAGGTCAGGCATTTTCCCATATCACATTCTTTGGTGGGAATGCCGATGAAGCAAATTCAACTGCCAGTCTTTCGTCACCTTAAACTAAATAGGACGAATACATCTCTTATAAACTTGGTCATCTTTGACCAAGGACAAAAGTTGTTCAAGGTTATGATATAACTCGGATGGAATCGCTGAAATACTATTAAATGATTCAAAAGGATATTTTTTCGTCTTCTGCCTAACATTACATGATATTAATGACATGATAAGGAAAAACCGACTTTTAAGATTTTTCCTGCCAGACTTACCCTGTAAGCATAAAATCCTAAGCCTAACCTAAAAATTTTGGGTTTTTTCAAAGAGATTGATATAAATTACCACTAATTAGTACCATGGCAAACCTCAAGAATCAACTGAGCAATATTGTAAATCTTTGAAGCATACTTAAGTAGATAAAGCCACATAAAGTTATGGACGTAGGAACCCGTAAACATATAAAGATCGATTATATAGACATGAACATGCAGTAATGTGGCATCCGATTACAGTGATAAGTTTAAGTCAAGAAAATTATCTTAAACAGCTTGTTAACTGATATCACACGTCAATTTTATGAATGCCTTTATCCTTTGGTTTCAGGAGATATTTCGAGTAATTATGTTTACGAGGCAAATGATTTTAGCCCAGTAATGTTGCTAGCAAATGGTAAAGTAGCTCGAATGTATTTTAGATTCGACGATAGAATTTTGGCA